TTGCTCTATAAAATAATTACTATATTTAGTTTTCTCTGAGAATAAGATTCCATTATTAAAAAGTGATTGAAAAGAAAACTTGGTACATCTGTAGAGTTTTTAATTTGAACATTTTGATAAAAAAAAATTTTTCAAAGGTATTTATCTTGAGGAAAATAGGTCCAAAATACTTTATACAATGAAAATCGAAAAATTCTCAAAGAACGTTTTTTAAAAAATATGAAAAAGGCAATGATTAACAGTTTTTGATAGACTATTTCACTAAAACAAGGTCAAAACTCAAACTCAAAGGCATATTTAGATTTCTCTTGAGACGGCACATCTAACCATACTAAATATGACTTCAGTTTCCCTCAAAAACTCTTAACAATTCGGGATGCAAAGTCATACTACTGTCCTCTTTTGATTAAGATATATACTAACTATAATGGATCATCTTGAATTTATGCAGAGGGTGGGTGTGGGTGTGGGGTATGTGTGGGTCTTCTTCGCTTACACCTTCAGACATCCATACTCCATTTCACACCCATACTTCACACCCACACCCACACCCACACCAACACCAACACCACACCCACACCCACACCCACACCCACAGCCACACCACACCCACAGCCACACCCACCCTCTCTCTCAAAGTATTTAACATTCAAGAAAAATAACGATTTACATTAGGAGGTTAATAATCAACTCTACTTGAATATTGAGAAAGATATATTGGGATGTTTGCTAAAGGAGCATCAACATCTACATCCTCTTGAAATAATCATGTATATATGAACATGTAGACAACAACTGCCTAAATACACATGTACGAAGTTTTTTCAAAGTAGAGAAAACTAAATAAAAAAATTAAAAATTAATCTGACTCATTTCTTTTTCGTTGAGTATATTCTCGTAAGTGTATATTAATGCATTGTTCATCACTCATAATAGTAAATGCAATCATAAATTGTAAAATACACATCAAATTACAATGACAGGTCCATTTTGAAAAGTAAAAAAATTATGCTCGCGTTCATAGAATATTCCTTATTAAGTCTCCATTGCATTTGAATATATCTATGGTAGTCCATACGTTGAGTAACTTCTTATAAAAACTTACAATAGTAATAGCATCATTGAACATTCATATTATAACACTATAATCAGCTTCCATAGTTCTGCTCTTCATATATTTGTAATTACTCTTATTCGACTGTAATCGATATCTTGGAAAAAAAATGAAAAACGAAAAGAATAAATTTTTACACTTCATCTTTTTATTTATTAAAGTTTTTGAACTTTCAGTTTAATATGATACTATTACAATTAGAAATATGTAATAATATTCCGTTTTGGAGGTACGCGTAGTGTATGTCTAAAGACGAAACATTGTTGTAACCTGCTTATCATTCTTCTGAAAACCACCATGCAAAGTGAGAAAATTCAGTTTCGGAAGACCATTCATGAGTATGTCTAATGTTTCAGGTATTTGAGCATTATAATAGTCGAACTGAATGACTTGTAGCTACGATAATCGCTTCATGATTGAAAAAGCAATGTCTGTCATGTTTAGATGTTTTCAATCTATGGAAAAATTGAGCTGTTGTAATCGATTTGACATAAGAATATTGCATAAAGAAGCATCGTTGAGAAAATCGACTAAGTTTTGCTCTTTCGAATGATGCTCAGAATCAAGATTTAATCTACAAGGCAGCTGTAAAGAGCAAGTGAAGTCCAACTCAGTTAAATGGATTAATAATACTCAACGAGATAATATGATTGGTGCATATCAAACGATGGTACAAGATTGCCATAGTATATGACCAGTGACTTTATCCAGATATAAAAACATTGCTTATAGTAAGAAAGAAAAGAAATTTATTCTTACCCACGAGCAATGCTTTTGGTTAGACTACTATAAGCATCTAAAGATTTGTCAATTCATGTGTGATAAAATCTGTAATGGAATAATTATTATTATATAAAGATAATTTAAGTTCGACTAGTACTCGTCCTGTAAGGTGTTATATATAAACATTGGTCAAAAAGTATCGATAGTAAGTGGTGAACAACATGAGGTCCAATAACCATTCCCAATAATATGAAATTCGTCAGCGAAAACCAAATATTGCTTTCTGATGTTATTTTAAGACGATGCATGATGGGAACTAGATGTTTATCAATAGTAGAGATGCGACTAAAAAGGAGTAACGGAAAAATATTTTGTAATAATCACAAATACATGATATGTTATTTTATTTTTCTGTACATCATATCCTACACACTAACAATGTTTTGTTGACATGTACGGTATTTCACATTTCTTGAGAAAAAGTTGCAAACAAATCTGGAACATGTTTATCCATAGAACCATAAAAAAATGATTCAAAATTACTATGAAAACATCTTCATAGATATTCGGAATCCATTAACTGACGAATAATTTTTTTCTAATGTAACGTCTTTTATCGTAAAATACATTTTTCTTGTTCTGGAATGATTCGTCTTATTCAAAATCTTTCATCTTTAAAATATTGAAGATGATTTTCGGTTGAAAGACAATAATTCCACATCGTAACTTATTTTACAATGTGTTGTAGCACTTTTAAAAATCTCAGCAAGTTTTCTTTCGTAGTAGCTTAAACATTTTATCTTGACTTATAGTTTGTTCTATTGAAATCTCGAGTATAAAATAGATGTCAACGAATGTACTTAAAGGCAAGAAAGAGAAGAATTTCTCTTTTAAGCGTATATCAAAAAGTGAGTCTAAGAGTCATGAATTCGAATTTTAAAGAGATAAACTCAGCTCGACTTTTGCCACGGTCGAAAAGGATTGGTCGTTTTTTGTTAATGAAAAAAAAACCTTATCTTAATCTCATCGGAAATAAAAGATGTTGCTCATTTCCTATTGTATGTGTCCATCTGCGACTGTACATAGAATTTCACCTTGTTGACTAATTTCAATAGACTCTCTCATATTTATTGTTTTCTAATAATAAAATTTTTCAAACAATTCATTTTCAACTTCTTAACTTTTTGAAATTGTAACCTTACAATTAAATACTTTACATTCAACAGAAATCGGAATTAGTGAAAAATTATATTATCAATTCAAAAATGTCTCATTTGTAGCTATAATACCAAGTTCAAAGGTGAGATCATGTGACTGAGGAAGATGTTACAGTGAATGTAACAGAACACCTAATGAACAAAGTCGAAGTACAATTGATTGTAAGTTGAAAAGATTTGTTTGAAGTAGCGTGAAGGTTTAACCAACTGGTAGAATTAGTTGATAGTCTAGACCTTTATATATATGTATTGTCAGAAACAAAAATCACATTTAAGTGACAAAGGAAATAAATGAAAACATAATATGTACTTTCAAATGTATTATAAGCAACACGATAGGAAATTGAATTGAATAGGTTAAATGTGACAAGAGAAAAGTTGGATGCACATGCATTGAAAATCAAATCAAAAGAAAAACGTTTAATATGAATTCAAGATAAATGACAAAGATTGATAAATGTGATGCTAACCACAAACTGTTATCAATATATTTGTAGTTGAATTTTGATTTCGTCCGGATAAAACTGTAATTCCAATTTTGATGGTAATACATACATACATGTACCCGTTAGTTGATCAATAAAAATGTAGATAATATGTATTGTTTACATGACACAAACAAGTCAATGCGTTAAAGATTTCCTCCTCGGAATGGATACTCAAATTTCCACATATTAAGTACTAACAATATTTATCTCATTTTTTTTGTAGATCTTCCATTTACGGGTCAGTATAGTAATTAACACTCGTAATTGAGAAAATTATTATTCGTGGAATTTTGGGTGTGGGTGTTAGGAACAGCTTCACCCACACCCTTTCCATTTCATGGAATTGTCCGTTTGTTATGACTGTACATACTGGTCATTTGCTATCAATAAACGAAAGAAGAGTTAGAGTTAAATCTAATAAGACCAATACGTTAATGTAGTAATGAACAATGAAAAAAAACATTTGTATAATTTTAAAAACTGACAATTTTGATATTTCAAAGTCATGTATTAATAATCTGTAAATGTCAAGCATGGAGCATTTCGTCAACTATAAATATCAAAATAAACTAAATAAATGAGACATATCCTGATGAAACAATATAAGTTATGAGTAATTTAGGCAACTATTATTACTAATCATGTTTTATTGATCTTAGTTATATTTATGTTATGCAGCATTCTCATCAGCAATCTAGTGAAACGATACAGATAATTGATACAAACATATTCTGCTGGAAGATAACAAAAAACCTTCACAATCATTCAATTTGTTTATAATTAGTTAATATGAAAAACAGTTTTGAAAAAACAAATTTTGTAGAGCATATTACGATCACATAATACGTTGCTTCTTTTAATAGCATAATTTCTAATTGATGTTTTTATTTTAAACATATCTTTAGAAGTTCAATACGCATGTAAAGTTGCCTCCTTTTTTATAATAAATGTTTAGATTAACAATCTTATTTAAAAGAAGACAATTCTATAGGAACGTGTTTTGAAAAATTCAAAACAAAAGATTCTTTTTAATTTAAATTATCTAAGCAATGCTTGCGAGTATACCGTTCAAGAAAAAAAAACCACACCAAGACAGCTTGTTCTCGTATACGTCGCGTAAAAATTAAGAAGATTTGTGAAAATTATTCTTCTTGCAATCAAAATAACGTTTTGAACTATGGATTTCAATGAACAACTAGAAAAAAACTGTACGTTTTCATAATTTTTCTATTGGAAAAATAGGGTGTGGGTGTGGATATTTCATAAACCACAAAGGTATCCACACCCACACCTACACCGACATCGACACCCACACCCACACCCACACCCACACCCTACTCAGTCCTGCAATGATTGAATTTCAACTATTTAATACTTGAATAGTTGGAATAGTACTTCAATAATTGAATTCAAGTTTCAAGTCTGACACTAGTGTTATTGTGTGTCTTAATCAAAAGACTATTTCACTTCAACGATTGTTTCTATTTCGACAGTTACATTGAATGGTAAGGATTGTAGTCCACCAGAAGTACGCGCATGCTTGCCCACTTCATCACTGAACACATTGACCAAAAATGCAGAGCATCCATCAACAATCAATGTATGGTTGACGAAGTCAGGCTGTGTCTGTATTTTGCCATTAATGAAGACAATTTTCTTTACTCGATTCAGATTGCCCAAGTAGTTTTTTATTCGATTAACTTGGCGTACACATGAGAATTTGGCTGCTCTTATTGCATCATCAATACTAATCTCATTCGGTACCCGTCCTGTGACGAATGTACCTGCTGGAGTTTGTGGTGCTGCACTGGAGAGAAAGAGCAGTTTGTCCACTTGAACAACATCGACATAGTTTCCGAATGCAGGTGCAAGATTTGGTAATTCACCATTTGGAAAACCCAAAGCTAGTAATTCAGCATGTAGCCGCTCTTCAATACCACTATCATGAACTGACACTACGCTAGCAATACTGATAACCAAAAGTAGCGCGACATTGTAAAGTTGGATGAATGATGTAAACTGTTTGGATACCATGAGTTGTCTTACTCGTTTTTTTTTCGCACCAATTGAATATTGAAAAAAATCGCAAGGTTTCTTATTTATGTCTAGTGGATAATGTCTTTCAATGCAATCAAATAATGATTTATATTAGGCGAAATACAATAGAAGTACGAGAGCATAGCTAAGAAACGTGAAAAAAAATACAAAGAATCGGTAAATATAAAGACCTTAGGTTAAAAAGAAATAGTTCTATTCACTTTTGAAGTTCTATTAGGCAGTATCAAGGAGTTTTTTGATAAGTAAAACAGACACAGATGTCAAACTTTCTTCATAAGCGCCAATGTGTAGGTAACATAAATTGCGGCCGTTATCGGTCTTGTAAAGTGATTTATGGTTATCCGCAATGCAATGATAAAGAATCGTCATTGAATTGGTAAATAAACGATAAAGAATAGTCGTTTATGATACTTTTATTTTCATTCTGGCTACTATATCGAAACAACTTTCTAGCTGATGAGTCAGGTTGAATAATGCGATGATATGTGCATGCAGTCATGATGAACAAGTCGTATTAGTACTATAACTATGCCATATTCACTCCATATTTATGTCAGTTATGTTGATTTAGAAATGTATATCAACAATAAATAATACTGATCAGATTGTGTACTATAAAGTATGACTTATTCAATGATCATATAGATATACCACTGACATTTACCTTAAATTTTAAAGAAAAAGTGAATCGTGCTCCTAAAACTGATGATTTAGATGATATAGGGTTTCCATACTCATGCTTACTGAGGACGCGGGTGTGGGTGAATAGATATCATTCATCTACATCCTACACCCCACCTTGTTCAGTCATCCAGTTAGTTGAATTAATTTTATACATATTATATATTACAAAATAAAAGTTAATGAGTGAAACATTTATACTGCAGTTAATATGTGATTTGGTCTATGGAAATATGACACAATTTCAATAGGTTTTGTATTTGTTGTAATTTCTTCCTACTAATGCGATGGATCCGACAAAAGTCGAATTTGAACAAGTCCATTCTAGATTCAATCATTTTCATGTTTTCATCAACTTGTTCTTTAAGTTCATTGTTCTTTCTTGTTTATTTTCTCTTTACTGCATGATAACAAAATAACAGATAAGTATAATATGAAAAGTAAGTTAAATAGATGTTTTTTTTTCTATGTCGTAACTGTGTATATATCTTATCAGCTTTAGAACACTATTATCTTGCCTACATTAACGAACGAATATTAAAGAAAAAACAAGGTTCGCTTTGAAGGATGTAGTTTTTCTGAACGAGTATCTCACACTCTTAAGATTATGTCATAATGCTGAAGATATAATGAGACCTTTTTTTTCCAGATTAGTTTGTTTACGAATTGCAATTTTATTAATTTTTCAAATAATAAAATATGTAGTTTAAAAGAAATATACATTTATTCACAGATAGAATAAAGTAAAATAAGAAATCCATTGACTGCAGCTATTGACTGACATAGAAGTAATTAATTTTCGTTCGTTATCATTCAATATTTAATTCAACAACATGAATTCAATCACTCATCATATATATTACGAACCAATGCCCACAGTAAAAAATTGGATTAACAACAAGATAGCAAATATGAAACAGCAAATTACAAATTACTTGCTGTCATTTTTTCCTTTCATAACTTGGATCTATCGATATAATTTCATTTGGTTTTGGAGTGATCTTATTGCTGGTCTTACGGTTGGTGCTGTTGTTATACCACAAGGTATGGCATATGCAGGATTAGCTAAATTGACACCACAATTTGGATTATACAGTTCATTTATTGGTGTTATGATCTATTGGTTTTTTGCAACGAGTAAAGTAAATACTAATAATTAAAGATAAATGAAACATAAATAGAAATTTCTAAAGTTTTAATAGGATATAACTATTGGATCTGTAGCTGTAATGTCAACATTAACAGGAACAATTATTGATGATATACATAAAATTTATCCACAATATGAATTACATATAATTGCTTCTGCTTTAGCTTTTATCATGGGATGTTTTGTTTGTACATTTGGAATATTTCGAATTGGTTTTGTTGTTAATTTAATACCATTACCAGCATTATCTGCATTTATGACTGGATCAACAATAAATATAGCCATGGGACAAATTCCAACAATGATGGGTAATAATAAATTTTTTGATACACGTCAATCGACGTATCTTGTCTTTATTAATTTTTGGAAACATATTAAATACTGTAATTTAGATGCTGTTCTTGGTTTAACAGCATTAATTCTTCTTTATATTATTCGTTTTATTTGTAGTCAAGGAAGTCGACGTTATCCAGATCGTGAAAAGATTTTTTTCTTTATTAATACACTTCGTACAGTATTTGTTATTCTTATTTATTTCATGGTTAATTAATCGACAAGATCCATCTCATCCACGTACATCTCTTCTTGGTAACATTCCAAGAGGTTTTCAAAATATGGCCATACCATATATTGATCGACAGATCTTTTTAGCATTAGTACCATATTTACCATCGGTAATCATTGTTCTACTTATTGAACATATTGCTATTGCAAAATCATTTGGTACAATTAATAATTATGTTATTGATCCAAATCAAGAACTTATTGCAGTTGGTATAACAAATATATTTGGTCCATTTTTTTGGTGGTTACGCAGCGACTGGTTCATTCTCTCGAACAGCAATTAAATCTAAAGCAGGTGTTCGTACACCGTTTGCTGGTGTTTTCACTGGTCTACTTATTATTCTAGCTATTTATTTTTTAACACCAATGTTCTACTAGATTTCACAAGCTAGTTTAGCTGCAGTTATTATTCATGCTGTTTGTGATTTAATTGTTGGACCACGTACATTAAAACAATTTTGGCAAATCAGTCCAGTTGAATTTCTTATTTTTTGGATTGGTGTTATTGTAACAATCTTTTCAAATATTGAAAATGGTATTTATGTTAGTATGTTAGCATCATGTACTCTTTTACTCTCTCGTATTGCTAAAGCACAAGGACAATTTCTTGGTCGAATAAAAATTCATCAAATTCAATTAATATCTGATAATAATATTTATTCAACTAAAGACAATATTTATATTCCATTTGATCATTCCGATGGAACAAATCCAATGATTAATCCAATTTTACCTGGAAATGGAATATTTATTTATCGTATGTATGAAAGCTTTCTATTTCCTAATGCTACTAATTATATGGAAAAAATGATTAGTCAAATATTTCGTGAAACTAAAGCTGGAAAAACTATTCCTTATAATAATCTTGGTGAACAACCTTGGAATTTAAAAACAAGTCGTCATCCAGAAAAGGAACAGCATCCGAATGACAATCGTCCTCGATTACATGCAATTATTCTAGATTTTACTGGTGTTTCATATATAGATATAACTGCTATACAAAATCTTGTTGATGTTCGTCAACAATTAGATAATTATGCTAACTGGAAAGTTAATTGGCATTTTGTTGGCTTATCAAATTCGTGGATAAAACGTGCACTTATTTCACGTGGTTTTGGATCTTCAGATAATGCTCGTACAGTTTTTTCAGTAGTAAATATTCATAATCATGATGACGATAATAATATAACAAATATTGTACAATTTGAGGCCATTATACATCTACTAATCTTTTATCAAATACTAATACAATGCTAGTACCAATACTTGATATTGATCGACCATTATTTCATATTGATATCGATGAAGCTTATACAGCAGCTGTTGCTAGTCTATCTATACGTCAATAAAAAAAAATAGTTCAATTACAATAGTGTCTTAAATAGTACGAAATAATCGAGCCATGCGTTTAATATATTTTCTATATTCATATTCAAACAATCTGTTTTGTCGTTTTATTTTTTCTGGCACATTTTAATAGAAGAATAAGTTAGAAAATAATATAAATACCTTTTTCATTAGGAAGAGATTTTGTTGTTTACGGAAAAAAAATGAAGAATAACAAGACTTAAATATTGGCAATCTTTAACTTGCGTCATATCAAGATTTTAATAGTTTGTTTCTTTTCTTTTCTTTTCTAATCGTTAGATAGAGTTCATCAAGTTGCATAAGAAACAAAATGTTTTTATACTACAAACAATAGTCTATTTTATCAAAATCACAAGTTTTGGATATATTAATCATTATGCAACTTAGCAAGATGTATCCAACTGTTATTTTTATTAATTTTCTAAAAAGCATTTTTTAATCATTATATATTATTATACTTTTTTTTTGATATTGAGGAAATAAAATGTTAAATAAAAGAATATAATCAGTTGGGAATTTCTTTGTAGAAAATATTATGATAAGGTAAAACTTTTAATAAGAAAGTTCAGTTAAGTTAATGAAGAATAATGATATTAGAATAGTAAAAGTGTTGAATGAAATCGTAGATACAACTCTGGATGTCGTTGTGCTAGTATTTGGATCAATATATATAATCATGAATCATAACTTCGACGGAATTTCCATTACTCGGTGATCGATCAGTAGTTTTATAATGAAAAACTCGAAGATTTATATGAATTCGTGCTGTAGCTTCAGATATAGCTGATGCATAACTTGGCCATGATATCCACGATTGAAAAAGATTAGTATCATCATTTTGAAATCCATACAGAAATCTCATTGTCATTGTAGCCGATGACCATATTATCTGCTGGGCCTTAAAGATTTGCCTGATTGTAATAGAGAGAAGTAGCATTCGTTGAATCATTAAGAGTTGCTGGTCCAATTGTATAGAAAAGATTTGGTGTTAGGATGTGGGTGTGGATGTGGCTTTATACTCCGAAAATACTCACTGTCACACCCATACCCTCTCAACTTTTGCGAGCTGAAGTTTCTTTGAAGAAATCTATTCGCAAATACATGTTCATTATGATAATTGAGTTATAATTTTATACACTGTCCTCAGCACCAAAACAAAACCAAATACGTTCAAGTATAAACGCGCAAAGCGATAAAGAATTTATTAAATATAGTTCTTATGTATCTCATTTCGTTTTTTGCATATAATCATTCTCGAAATAAATTATTTGACAAAGAAAAGAACATTTTACTTAGCATTTAAGTGTCTTCATCTGGATCAGTTATGCAAGTCATCATCCATTTTTAGGATATAGATGATCATAAGAGTATTGAAACTGAGAATATTAGACTAGAATGCCATCAATATTCAACTTACTCCTTAGATCGATAAAAAATAGACTGATGACCTGATAAATTTATCCCAATGTATAGTTAACATCTATTCTTATTATTTTGAATGAGAAGATATTAATTTAGTGATTATAACTGCAGTCATATGAACATGACTATGCATATACATAATACTACTTTTTATTTTTACAAAATCTAAAAAAGAGACCCGCCAAGTGAGAAAAAAATCAAAAATACAATACTTTATAGATATTACATAAAAGAAAATGTCAATAATCAATCATATCAACAAAAAATAGAGATCCATATTGCTTCAATCTCTTAAGATTTTATATAAAACGTTCGTTTTGTAAAGATAAAAGTCATAAATTAATAAAATTATGAAACATATTTATATCTGTTTATTCACGTGTATACTTTCATTAACAATCTAAAAAAAAAACAAGATAAATGAAAATAGGATTTATAACAAAAAAAATAACTAACTTTTTTTCATCGATTCAAACATATCGAGTCAGGTGGTAATAAAACTTTCTCAATAGAATTTAATTTATACCATAGATAAATATGAACAAGTAGAAAACAAACAATAATAATTAGACCAATACTATATACTCTACTTTCACCATTAATTGTCAATTTAAATCGAGATAAACTCAATGGTAAATTTTCATTGATTTGTTTTTGAGATATAATATTATCAATTGATTTTTTTTGATCTGTTTGAGATAATGATATTAATTTTTGCTTAGAGTTTTTATCCATGTTTGTCATTTGATGATTTTTAAGTCTTCGAACTAAAATAGAAAGTATAATCTTCATATTATACAGATCATGTAGATTTTTTCTTTGGTACCTTGTTCATTAACTCCTCCTTCTACAGAGGAGTTTACATTCTTTTCAATAAATGCTAGAAGAAAAAAAGAATTTAAGAATGAAAGTTAAAAAAATATTTGATTTTCTTAATTACTTTTAATAAAACCATTGACATTTTTAATGTATCGTGTTTCAGCAGTAACTCGTAATGAACTATGTTGAGCATCATATTGTACCAAACAGAACCGTGTTGCAACATAAAATGCATCTGTATATTTCATTCCTTCATTGTATATTTCTGTATTTATAATATACATTAAATGTGGTTTTTCTACTTCTAATGTCTATGAAGAATTATGAGAAAAAAAAGAAAAGAATTTTTACAAAAATTAAAATCAAATATACTTGTTTTTCTCGACAGAAGATCGTATGAGTACCAAGAGCAGATTGATTAATTGTTTTATATGTTACTTGGCGTTCTCGTTTACCAGTGTCACTATTTAAAATCCATTCACCAAAAGCAAAATCTAAGAAAAATATCAATGGAATACTACTAGATATATATATAAGCAATAAAATTTACCAAGTAATTTGTGTGCATTATGAAAATCACGTATAAATGAATTATCACCAAAAAATAATTTAAA